AAACTATATATAAAATTTTTTTTAATTATTATTTACATAATATGTTAAATTTTTATTTAAAATTTATATCTAAAAAATTAAAAATAAAAGCACAACTACTAAAAAATTTATAATATGTAATTATAAAAAAAATATTACTATATTATTATTCATATTTTTTATGTGATTGTCCCTATAATGATAATAGAAAAACAAAATAAATAAAAATACTTAATATTATAAATTTTTAATAAATAAAAAAATTAATTATTTAAATAACACATTTAATTATATTAAAAAATTAAAAAAATATATCATTAAATCATTCCTCATCGCTATCAAAATGATTTGATTTCTCACGGGAACTAATGGCCCACGGCTATAACTAGGATTTTTATTCCTTCGTGTTTCTTTCCCTCCTTTTTTTTATGGCGACATATTATTTTGAGCCAGTGGCCATTCTTCGCGTGGAAAGTTGGACGATCGAAAGAGAAACTTGCACTTTTGAATAGAGCTGCATAGGTTTTGGTGCTGTTGTGGTCCACACTACAACAAAATTAAGGAGTGTTTGGTTTGCTTGATTGGAAAAGCTCTCTCTCTCTCTCTCTCTCAGGTTATGTAAAAATATTTTAATAGTTGTACATGTTAAAATATTTATATATATAATTTTTATAAAATTATTATATAAAATTAAATAAGTAAAATTATATATTGTTAAAAATCTTAGAAAATGAATAAAAAAAAAAGTCATCCCCAGGTCCCAATAAAACATATTCAATGATATGGAACGTAGATCTCAATCATTTTCCTGCAATGTCTCTTTCTTTCCTCTGTTTAGAAAGTTGGTTGGTTTTTAAGAAAATTAGCAGCGGGTCAGGCTTGAAAATGTGATGAACAGGAATCAATGAGTTAAAGCACCGTTAATCAAGGACTTTAGTCTCAGGCCTTATTTCGGTTATTATATTGTGGTTGTGATAAGTTTTAATTTTTTATTATTCAAAAAATATACAAAATATATAAAAAAGTACATAATACTAATAGTTTTGAATCTTAAAATAAATCAAAATCTTAATTTTAAATAATTTTATTTTATTTAATTAAAATTTAACTTAAAATTTAAAAATTTATTTTATTAAATATTGATATTTAAATTTAAAAATTGATTATATTAAAATATAAAATTAGTTTCTAAATTTATGTATCAACATTTAATAAAGTAAATTTTTAAGTTTTAAATTAAAATTTCAATTTTTAAATGTAGATTGGGACTCTAATTTTTTTTTAAAATCACAATGATACATACTAACCTTAAAATATATTTAATATTTATTTTAAGAAAATAATGTATATTTTTCTTAATTTCCTAGAGTCTAAGTGCAATTTTATTTTTAGTGTATATTTAAAAATCTCGTGAATATTAATTCTTAGATTGATTAAATGTATTTATTTTATTGATTATATAAAAATTTAACACTATTAAGTAAAATATGAAATTTTATGTCAACCAATAAGAAAAATGTGAAAGAATAATTATGAACATAATTAAATACTTTAATAATTGATTCATATTTTATATATATAAATAGCACTCCAATAAATTTAGTTGTTTTAATTTTAATTTTTTAATT